GAAGAATTGATGCTTTTGAGCTGTGGTGTTGGTGAAGAATGCTGAAAGTTCCGTGCACTGCTAAAAGAACTAACAGTTCTCTCCTGGAGGAGGTGCAGCCAGAATGCTCCCTGGAGGTGAGAATGGCTAGACTTCTTCTCACATACTTTGGTCATGTTGTCAGAAGGGACCATTCCCTGGAGAAGGATGTCATGCTTGGTAAAGTGGAGAGTTGATGAAAGAGCCCTCAATGAGATGGATTGAGACTGTGGAAGCGGCAATGGGCTTAAGTATCGTAAGAATCATGGAGCTGGCACAGGACTGGCAGTGTTTCATTCTGCTGTGCACAGGGTCGCTATGAGTCTGAGATGACTCGACAGCACCTAACAACAACAGTCATTTGTTGGCTCTGAGTCAGCAATCCTAAGTTGGATTTGAGACTTAGGACAGAAATATTTGCAAGTCAATCAAACAATTGTGTTCTGATAATCAAAGCAGGTGGTTCCCCCTGCCACACACACCAATACCCATTTAGGGTTAGTGAATCAAAAATTACTGTCTACAAAGATTTAGATTAAGTTTAAATTTTACATGAATATTGTTGATAATACCAGCTTGAGGCAAAAAAAATTGTTGTGTTTCCTCAATGGAAAGCTTGTAAAAACTGTGTGTTTAAATCTGATTTACTCCCATTCCCAACCCACCCTCACCTCCACTGTAAACACAGGAGCAATTCAAACCATTCAGTCCCATGTAGCATGGCTGCATCTCCTTTGGAATAGAGCGTCTCACGTGCAGGAGATACTTTTCACTATACTTTTAAAGTTTCTACTTTCCCTTTTGGCTTAATTGATCTGATCAGTAGTAGTAAGCTATATCATCACTATTCTGCATTTATAGTGTTGTTTGTAGTCTCTTTATCCTTGCAATGCATTTTATAATAACTTTTCCCCCTAGTACCACCTTTTTTCCATTTACTTTGTCTAGCACATTAAAAGTCTACCAAATATTAGTACATTGTTAGCTTTTTTTTTTTAAAATACATTGTTGTGAAAGATCTCTAAATATTAAAGACCTTTAATGGGGGATGCCATTTTTCAATTAACAGGCAGCAAGTTTAATGCAGAATCCTCAAGTTCAACAACTGTAAGTATATAGAAAGAGCTTATTACATTTTCCCCTTCTACCCAACAGGCTCTGCATTTGAGAATATCAGCTCAAAAACGATAAAACTACCCTTAATACTAATCAGTTGGAACTTAGAGCCACACTTGGCTAAACTTCCTTCATACCAAACCAAACCAAACTCACTGCCACTGAATTGATTCTGACTCACAGCGACCCACACTGGGTTTCCAAGGCTATAAATCTTTATGGAAGCAGACTACCTCATCTTCCACAGAGCAGCTCGGGGCTGCAAACCATGGACTCTTTGGTTAGCAGCCAAAATGCCTTAACTACTGTACTACCAGAACTCCTTAACTTCCTACATAATGAGGGTATATTTAACTGTCTTTTCATTGGACAGCTATCCTATTTGTTAAGAATGTATGCCAATCCCACTGATAAGTCTTTTGTGTACTCTAGAATGTCAGGAATGATGACAAATGCCATTGGGGGACCTGCAGCAGGAGTTGGGGGCCTAACTGACCTGTCCAGTCTCATTCAAGCGTAAGTGGTACTTATAAGAGAAATAGTAAAAATGTAGTTTATATTTTATAGTTTGTCTCTAAAGTGAGGGAATCAAGGCTTCATTTTTAAAATTTTTATGTAATCTTTTAATATTAGTGGCATCCTTGTTTATTAAATCTGGAAGAAGTTTATAAATTGGGCTCACTTTTCAGGTATACGAGCAGGAATCCAGACATGAGTTGTCTGGTCAGCTGTCATATGTGCTCAATGGGCTTTTTAAAGGAGTCTTCAAGTACCAACAGTGTTATTTTTTCCCCCTTACCAGTTCAGTAGTAATATTAGTGGAAGGGGAGTAGGTAATTTACATTCCTATTCAATGATTAAGAAACTGACATGGAGGTAGTGACTTACTGAGGGTTTCAAGGAATCCATGGCATAGCTAGTTGTACATTTAGTCTTTTGACTTCAGCCTAATTTTCCTTACTTGATTATGCTGTCAGTATGATATTACTAGTTGCTGTCTAGGCAGTTCTGTCTCATGGTAGCTCTGTGTGTGTCAGAGTAGAACTGCGCTCCATAGAGTTTTCAGCGGCTGACTTTTCAGAAGTAGATCACACACCTGTGTTCTAAGGCACCTGTGTGTGGACTCAAACGGCCATCTTTCTGGTTAGTAATCAAGCATGTTAACCATTTACACCAACCAGGGACTCTTCAGTATGCTAAAGTCCTCAGTTTCGTAATTGGGATGTCAATGCTATCATCTTCATTTATAGAGCTTCATAAGGATTGGTGATACGGTACTGTGGAGGGCAAGGAAAGAAACAGTAAATACCATGTGTCTACATTTAATGTGGTTTCTTATATAAATTCTTATTCCCACTGAAGATTTAAGAAAAAAACTTTTTTTTTTTCAAACTTGAATATGTAACTGACTACTCAGGGATATAGATTAAAGTAAAACATCTTAATTTAGGTACACATACATACATTACATATATTAATTTTCAAACATTTTTTCCTCTCTTCATATTTTAGGAAACTATTTTATTTAAACTTCTTGTCATCACTAGAGAAAAGTCCTTGCATCCTCTCACTACTTGAGCACATGCACTTTTTCACTTCTATTCAAGTAATTCAAGACACACTTTCTGCATCTGTGTATGATGCTGTCACTGAAAATTTTATATAAAGCCACAGGTTACCTATTTGCTCTGTGATCAAGACCATGTACTGCTTATATCATTTTTCGAGTGATCTTTAAGTAGTAGCATGGTTATAAAGATATTTAATACTTGCAATTGAGGGTTAGTCTCAGGAATTTGAGTTGAACTTCTTTGCCTTTTTAAAAACCAGTACTGTTAAGTGACCTTTGTAAGCATCTCAGACTGGGTGTTATACTCTTTAATATCAGGGACTTTTAAGACTTGAATATAAGGGAAAAGATGGCATTATTTTTGAGCATATACAATGAAAGCCCCTTTCTTCTTTGTGGTTATGCACTAGAGAGGTAGATTTCACACAATTCTGCTATTTACTTTTTAGCTTGGGTGGTTTTTCTTTTTTTCTTACAAGGAAGTTTTCACTGTAATAACTCTGTATGGAGGCATTGGTAAACTTGCAGATATTAAAGCTATGTGTGATAGTTAAGGTTGTGTTCAACTTGGCTGGAACTTGATTCTAAGTGGTTTCAGCAATTATGATGTAGTCATCCCACATGATGAGCTTTGATGTAATGTAATCACCTCCTTGAAGAGATGTGGTACGAGCAGCCAGTCAGTTGAAAGGGAGTTTCCTTAGGGGTGTGGCCTGCTTCCAATATATATACAGGAAAGTTCTCAGCTTTCTGCTGAATCTGGATCTGCATCTGGCTCAGCATCATCTCCACTTCCTGGACTTGAACCAGTGGCCTACCATATTGCCTGCTGATCCTGGGATTGTTACCTTTGCAGCCTATAAGCCAACAATCTGCCATTTTACCTGCTGATCTTAGATTCATCAGCCTGTGAAGCTGGCAGCCTGCTGATGTTGGGTTCATCAGCCCCTGCAGCTGCATGAGTAAGGAGAAGCCTCCAGCTTGACATTTGACCCACTGACTGGGGACCTGCCAGCCTCTACAAGTGCATTAGACTTTTACTTGAGATAATTTCTCTTTCTAATATATATTTATAAGCTTCACTGGCTTTGTTTCCCTAGAGAACTTAGCCTAATATAGGGCAGAAGAAAGAATGGTTCTCACATCATGTCAATTTGATGTCCTGCAAGCATCATTTGAACAGAACCCCTGCCCTGGTATAAACTAGAGAAGAACTTGCCAAAGAAATTGGCATTCCAGAGTCTAGAATTCAAGTTTGGTTTAAAACCACAGAAGAATACAGAACTTGGTACCAGGAGTGGGGAGTTGCTCTACCAGATAACTAGAATGTGGAAGTGATTTTGGAATTGGGGAATGAGTAGAGATTGAAGAGTTTTTTTTTTTTTTTT